AAGTTATATGGCGGCGAGGACTCTTTTGGCCTTATTTCGCATTTCGATGGCGCCGCGTGTGTTTTAGCACCCAGAATAGGCTCGAAATCGTGAATAGACTTGGCCCAGCCAGGCTCGGCAGGATATACATATAAATGCAGGATAGGATGTGGAGAGGACTGTTTATATGTTTGTTTTTGCAATGCCATTTCAATTCCAATTCCGCTCGCATATTTGCAACAAATTAAAGTGCCCTGCGGGCCTCAAAAAGTTGTAAAAAGCTTGAAAATGCACACATAAAGCCCACATGGCCTGAGGGTGGTGAATCTATAAAAATCGTATGCCTGCGACTTTCGCTTTGTGCCTCCTGTTTATGGGTTCTGCAAAGTATGCAATTAAAAGTCGGTTCTGGGTAAATTTTCAGAGTTCTCTGGATGGCAATCAAAATCGCTGGCCAATCGCAAAAGGTGCAGTGATAATGTAATAAGGCCCGCCCCCCACTGCAAATCCCTTTGCCCTTTATCCCCTCCATTCTGCATACATTTCCCTCTGAGAGAGGAGAACTTTCCAGGGAAAATGGGTACCAAAGGGGCTCCTGCTGCTGCTGCTGCTTCTGCTGTTGATGATGAGATGCCTTTGACTGCAACTTGCCAGGGCCGCGTTGGCACATTGTAAGTTGTCACAGGCCCCGAACCGCCTCCTACTCAATACCCAGCCCACCGACTGTGCCCGGGGAAATGCAAAAGAAAAGCGGTGAAAAGCAGCTGCCGTCGTCGCGACCAAGCTGAGTGAGTGATGTGGCAACAATTTTTTATGCGTTTGCACCAAACGGCTACAGTGCAGCTAAAATGTAGAAACAGTGCGGATTGGCTAAGGTATCCGGAGCAAATGAAGCGTGATTGAAGTTGATCAGCTGGAAAAACCCAAGGAAATTGAAGCTCTGGGGGAATTGTGTTACTTTTCCTTACCTACATACTTATTCTCTTTTAGTTTAAAGGCCTTGAAAATATTTTGCGATCTTTACTGTATTTAATTTCGCTAAAATTTGTATGCATCATCTTCAGTATTTCTCTCTGCACAGACACACGCTTTGGCTTTAGTAAAAGCGAAAAAATTAAAAATCTTAACACTGCAAATTGTGCGCATTGAGGCTAAAATAGATGAAAAGTTCAGGGTCTAATTGAAGAGCCCGCACATGAATCGGACTGGGCCAAAGGCTGATGATTAATGAATGATTTATGCGCTGGAATGTGTGTCGTAATTAGCATTTTATGCAAAACAAGGAAACCAGCAGAAAAACTGACCAGCAACAGTGAACTTCCGCCCCCGGAAGAGTCACTAGTCAGATTAAAGGCTGCCAGTCAGTCGGCTTGTGTTTTCAATTAACATGCAACACGCTCCATTTCGCCCCAAAAAGAGAGTGAGTTTCTGCCACTTATCTCAGCCCTCATAAGTATGCAAGGCCAACGTTTCTCAGTTTCCTCAGGCCTCGAGCCAAAGCCAAGCTAATGTTTAATAATTGCTTTGTTGTAATTAAAACTTTTGTCAATGTTTGTGCCGAGAAGAAGAGTCGATAAGGGAAGCCTTCGTCCTTAATCCTTTACTTGTCTTGGGCTTCATTTGTTTGTTTACAAAATACTATTGTTAAAATATTTTCTAATTGAAGATTGTGGTAAGAAGAACTTATTATTTATGGAGTTTGAAAATAAATTAGTGAGAGAAATGTTTAAAAGCAAGGAAAGAAATAACACTTCTTGGCATCAATTTAAAGTATATTTAATAAGTAACAAAGCAAAAACAGTAAGGGGTTGACCCATTGCCAGAAACCCAATAGAAAATTGCATTGCCAGGGTACTAAGAAAAATATAGAAAATAGTGAAAATGTATTTCTCCACTTGCTAATTTGTATCTGGTCTGTGGTTGACTGAGCAGAGTGGGTCTCCTCCGGACTAAACCCATTCGATCCAAACCGAATCGAGCTCAGTGACTGCGGCACGTTCTGGGTGGCCACTCCTCAGCTCAACGGAGACTTGGAATATCCTATTATTATGCAAACCGTAGCACAAAGTTTTTCTCTTTCCTTTATTTTACTTTGGCCGCCTCCGGTTCAGTGAGTGCTTTTTTTGTTGGTTCTTAAAATAATTTTCATCACGCCCGCTGATTGATTGATTGGTAGATGGATGTCCCCTTCAATTAAGTGAATGCATTAAAATTTATTTGCATCCAGCGAGAGAGAGAACGAATGAAAAGCTTAAAATTAAGTGGGCCAAATGAAAATATTGAATGGAAATGGTTTCCTCTTGATAGAATTCCTCTCAATTGTGTTGGTTATTGAGGGTTTTTTGGTTCTGCTGGAGCAGCTAATAGGCTTAGGGCGTATAATTAGTTGGGCCAACGAGGCGTATGCGTTATGGGAATTCAAATACCGCAAATAGTTAAATGGCAGTGGGCTTGGGCATACTTGATATACCCCGAAAATAAATGTTTGTTTGTTTGTTTGACCTGTGAATGTGAGGGTAAATTCCTTGCAAAACAAAAATTCAATTGTTTGGTTTTAGTGCCACCGAGGCAGCGGGGCGTATACGTTATTCGAAATGAGAATTTAATGGATGGATTTCGGATATTTATTGATTGGGCGATTGAAGCCCAGCGGGCATCCGCTGCCCCCAGAAAGCACAACGAAATTCATTCATTAAATCACCGAGCATATTAATGCAGATGAGCCCCGAACAACTTGCAACTTAATTTGTATATTTAATTATTTTTCAATTACCATTTTAATTGATTTATGCGACAACATCATTTACCATTCCACTGCCATGTCGATGCGCCTCGTATCGGGCTTTAATGTGTCATTAATTTCGGTGGCCAAACATCTTCGTGGGGGACGGCGTAAATCATTGCCAATTTAATTGAAAAGATTAAACATTAAAAATATCAATATTTCATTGATTGCATACGCAGGCTTAACTGCATTAATTTTGATGGCTGTGCAAGGGTTTCCTCCTGCCCTATTTTATTTTATTTTTTTATTTATTATTTTGTTTATTTATTTTTCTGCGGCACTTTCCGAGGTAAATAAAATGTCACCGTTCGCTGGTCGTTGGCAACTGTTTGCCGCGAATGTCAAACACAATTGAGTGAATCGAACACAAGCCCCGTGGTTCAGTGCATATAGATAAGTTAATCTGAATAGACAGATGTCCATTTTATTTGGTTAAATATATATAGTATGTGTGGGATGTTGCGAATTTATTTTTGCCGGAGTGCTTTTGATCTAAGTTGATCTGGATAAACTTAAATTCAATTAAAATTGATGTGAGTATGGCAAGTGTGTGTTCAAACAACTGTGTTTATTTTTATGCTTAGTTTATTATTATTAAAGGTTTAATATGGCTAAATGGATTTCTGGCTTTAATTTGCAATATTTTTTGCCATAAATTTATAGATAACAATATATAGTTCTATTATTTCCACTATAACTGAATTTAAGACACTTTGAATAACGAACTCAAACCTTTAACAAAATATAAAAGCTTCCATTATTGTTTGCACACATTGTAATAATTTAATTGGAATCCTTCCAAGGAGCCTCAATCCTTTGCTCCTCTTTAAGGTGAATCGAGTTTGAACAAAAGCTTAAAGAGTTGTCTGCCGCTGTGACAGACAGGCAGGAAAATACAAAGTTGTGAATTATTAAAAATGCTTTTAGAGTTGTTCGAGCCGAAAACCTTCGTTGACTAAACGATGCCGGGTTGTAGGTTAAGTGCAGCTCTGTCTCTCTCTATACATACATATATAAAATATATATGTGCTGCGGTAAATATATATATTAAGGAGGAAAACATATGCACGAGGACTTGTATCTGTGTCAAAGTCTTATTGAAATTTTCATGAGACGGCGGTCCGAGCAGATAATGTGGCATGCCTTTTGATTAGATTTTATGTAAATACTTTCTGGGCAACGAACCCCAAGGATGGAGGATGGCTGTAGCCGAGGCAGAAAAGAGCAACCGCAGACCGACAGACCGGAAAAATCAAATAAATATATAATCATGCGGTTGGCGCGAAAGTAAGCCGCGCTTTTCAAATTGGTATAAATGCGGCACGCATGGGGACAGAACGGCGGCGCCTCCGCGGTATTCTCGCCCCGAGGCCGTGTATCTGGGACCTCGTCCCGTGATTGTGCTAAGTCTGTTACTTAAAAGCCATAACATGAAATAAAATAATAATCATGCCTCTGAAAGACGACGTCGAGGCGTAACCTCCGCCCTGTGTGGCATCTGAATGAGCCCAACAAGAAGTTTTTAAGGTGGCCCGCACTCGGGGAGCTGTGCCGTTTAATTAATTAAAGGTGTTCAAATAAAATACACCTTCACACTTGGGAAATTTGTGCCTTTTCCCCTATAACACAAACACACACACACAAGCACATATGTTTTTCTTTGGCTTTGGCGCGTGTCCTTGTTTCCTTGCTTACTTTATGCCAATTTTTTATTCGGCACTCTCTTACTTGGGATCAAGCGGGAAAGCCCTCGGAAAAGAAAAGTCTCGGCCAGATGTGGTTCCCGGGGATTTTCTTCTTGATTTCTTTGAAGAATATTGATTAATATGTAATTATATATTGTGAACAATAAATTTCGAAGAGATTTGCAATATCAATAAATTGTTCGAAATGGATTAACACCTTATGGGCTCAATTGGAGGAGGCTTCAAATTATTGTTTGATATAAAACAAAACTCTTTAAACATTTCATTGTTCTGTTATTCAAAGAATTTAAAAAATATGAAATGCAGTATTTTGTTAAATAATATTGTATTAAAATAATGTTTTTGCTTAGCAAAAAACCAATTAAGTGTCAAAGGACTTTACAAAATTTCACGCCGATGGTTATTATTTTAAATTGCTTAAGTTCCTTGAGAATATTATAATTAGTGCTAAGCCACTTGTATTTTACCATTTAACCCGGCTATTGCCCGGAGGAAGTGCCTGGAAAGTTTGCTTTAATTATGTTGCTTACCTGCTGTTACCAATTATATATTTCTGGTCGAGCCTTGCGGCTTTCTTTGACTCAGCTTGCCACTGCCACAACAGGCTGCACCTCGTCTATGGTTTGTTTGCGCTTTGAGCTGCAATTGCCGTAAACATTTTGTTGAACATTTCATTTGATTATGCTTGAGTGGAACTCGCAAGTCATAATTGTTGGCAATTTATTTATTACACAAGAATAAATGCTGCTAATTGGTTTTACCCGGCCCAATTAGAACTCATTTGAGCAATTTTCGGTTCGGTTTCGGCAAAAGCCACATGAAACTACAATTTTTTTTTTGCACTGAAACTTTGTGGTTTTTGGTGTGTGTGTGTTTCTCTTTTTCTTCTATCTCTTTTTTATGCCCCAGCTCGTAATGAATTGAGGAAGATCGAAGACAATCGATTCGAATTCAATTTGCGTTCACTTTGCGGCAACGTTGTTATTGGCTGGGAAATTGTCACTTGAACTTTGCGGGAAATTCTAAAGCCGCATCATCGCCAGAGTCGGCAGAGTCGCGAGAGATGGAAATGTTCCGTTGTTGGTTGTCAATTTTCCGTTTTCCGCCACTCGCGTCCACACCCAACGCCAATTCGCACGGAACTGAACAGCATTCCGCGTCCGTCCTTAAACTTCAGCCGCCCGCAACAGTTCGTCGCCTCATCGTTCGGCTCGTGGCTATATGTCTCTTTGGCATTTTGGTTCTTGGGCCTTTGGCCCAAACGAAACGAAGTGCTTTCGGCCCGAATCGTATGCTCGGCGTCGATAAAGCAGTGCACCGATTCCATTAACTTGGCTCTCTCTTAGTTGCCAAACTGTTGATTCTACCGACACGCAAAGAGTATAATTTATTGGATTTCCAAATACAAAAATAATCTTTTTAAATTGTACAACATTGTGTTGTTATGGGGAAAGTAAATTTATTTAATTACACTTGTAAGAATAAAGAATAATTTATTATGATATATTTAATAATTCATGAAGCTATGTTCCTAGAAAAGTTTGTTGAAAATCTATGAGCAATACAAGTCATTAAAAAGCATTAAAAAACTTATAGAACACTCACTTATTATAATATATAGTTTCCTTGTTTTGTTTGTAATTTTGTCATAATTAAAAATGTTAGTGTCTTATATAGTTCTCAAATATCTTATTGAATTCTTTGGGAAAAATACTTTGAAGGAAAATTAAACAAATATTCAATCAAAATCGTTCTTAACGCTATTCAAAGTGATGTTTAATTTAACAAATATTCAGATTTGATTCGTTCTTAAAGCAGTTTAATTTAATATTTCACAGCATTATAATATAGCATATAACATTCTAGGAAATAAAAGAAGACTGGAGTTATTCAGAAATAAATATTATTCAATTTTTCAGATAAGCCTTAAAGATTTATTTGCTTTTACATAAGTTTGTTTTTATATATGTTAAAGCACTTATTTAAAGAAAATAGACATATTCTGGGCTTACATATTTTTATGTTGTATTTATTTTAAATTTCACCCTTCTACAATTGTATAAATGAAAAGACTTTCTCTTTTATTATAAACTAAATTTCGGACTTTTGCTCTCCGATTATTCTCACTTCCTGGCAGATTCTTGTTAGTTGCTCTAGGGAAAATGTGGAGAGTGGCAGCTGCAAAAAGTGACAATTTGCATCAGACATTCATGGGCGCTTCATGGAAAGGAGGATTGTTATTCACTCCGTTACAGGAATGATGTAACAATAATTTTCTGTTGCTGCTGCTGCTGCTTCTACTCCGGTTATTGTTCTTGCAGGCAGGAAACTCAATTATACCGGAGCATGAGTCTGAAAAAGATGAGAAAAGAGCTGGCAGTTTATTTTGAGCTTCAGACTGTTGGCCAGCCGGATAAAATCTAGCTCTCGGTTTGTTGTGGACCCTTCTCGGCTGTCCTGTCCCCTCGTCGACCTTCTCCCAGCTCCTTCCAGCTGCTTGCTGCCTGTTGTCAATTAAAGTTTTAGCAGTTGCATGTCACAGCAAATTATCCTGCACACGCATACAGAGCCGTTGAGGCCATTGGAAACAGTGACAAGAAGCAAATGACAAAGTGTGTCGAAGGTCCTGGCCAAATCATAAAGCCAAGTACACTCTCATCTGCAAGTGGAGAAGCAGCCAGGCAGGCACAGGAGACGGGCTCCCCTCTTAGGACTCTTTTTCCACATAAACATTGGCTGACTGTCATAACATGGCCAACACATTTAAGTGTGTGATTCACATGTGGATTGCTGCTTGGCAGACAGGACGACGGTCCTTGAAAGCCCCCGACTCACCTCAACCGCACACTTACCGATGTCTGTCTGTGTATTTGGGTCGGTCACATTTGCATACCATTCTCCCACATCAAAGTAATTGCCGCTCAAAGGAAAAATAAGGAAGAAAACATTCATTTCGAGGGACCTACTTTGTTACACTCTTCGATGGCACTAATACATGTTTAAATTAATTTGGGGATTTTGTTTGAAATTTATTATATATAAGTAGCGGCTTAAGAGCCTTAATACAGCACTCAAATTAATTATTAAAATTTGTTTAAAGACATTAGAGTTGACTACAAAGCTGGTGTTTCTTCCTTTGAAATCTTAAAGAAATCAATATAAATATAAATACATAATGTATGTGTTACTTACATTTGCTTTGTGAATAAATACAAATTGTATACATGTTTCTTAATTCTTTAGAAATCTAAAACATCTTGAAAGGAAGACAAATTTTAAAGAGATTTCTTATGCATTTTGTTTAGTTTCCAATAAATCCCCTTCAAAACAGTTCGATGGCCAGCAATGGGTCTCTTGTTCAATACCCGGAAACAATTTCCTTAATTTGATCCAAACGGAATATCTAGAAATTATTTCACATTTTGCTGCTGCGACTGTCAACCCCACACAAATAATAATTTATCATCGGTCTGAGGCTGAGAAAAATGCGAGTGGAAAATGAAAAGTTGCAAATTACAATGGCTCGGATCGATAGTTGGCCAATATATATACATATATAGCGTGTGCATATGAATATTTGCATTCTATATTCCCGCATGGATATGTTCAGTATCTTGTGTGCCGCCTGCCTGCCTGGTTTATTGTTTGTTGCCATCCGATTGTGTTTGTAGTTGTTTATGGCACAAATGAATTGGCATCTTTCGAATACTTTCGGCTTGCCTGCCCTGCGGAGGATTTCCACGAGCCCTCGTTACTCGCTTCTTGTCCCTTTTCGAGCTTGTCGTCCTTTTGCCAAGCTGGGATTCCCCCGTGCCGCTGCTCTTTTTCACTGCATAATCGCCAGAGATGTTTGCCTGCTTGTTTGCCATTCTGTGTTTCGTTCTGGCAATGCATTGAACCAGAAATATGTAGATATGCCAATGAGTTTCTTTCATTTTTGGCCCTCTTTGTGTGCCATTTTGTGTGTCGTTTTGTGTCTCGTTTTGTGTGTGTGTGTTGCGTCTAAAAATGGGCCATAGCGTCCTGTCTACAGCTTTAAGTCCGTAACTTTCCCTGTTGTTAACCCGAAATTTCGCCGTATTTAATTATTCAATTTCCCCGAATCCCCGAGCTGGGGAAACCGCTTGGCTTTTATTGATTTTCTTGGGGTGATTTGGCCACTAACCTTTCCCAACATTTAGGGGGCTCCCCGATGGCGTGAATAACTGCTTAAATAGCTTGTAATAATGTTACCGAAGGTCAACTGCCTGCCTATTAAAAGGCAGCTTGTCAACTGCCAACCTGCGGGGTCGGAATTTTAAATTTCCCCCGAAAATTAATTATTTTAACAGTGGCAGAAGGGCAAACCACTAATGGGCTTCTGGGAAATGAATTTGGGAAATATATTTCCCTAATATAATACCTCTATACATTTTTAAATAGTCAACCGTTTCGTTCCGTTTCGTGAGCCAATTACTTTAAAGGATGCCTGAAATCGATCCTTAAGTGGTGGGTAATAAGGCAGGGGAGGTGCTCACCCCAGGAGGTGACAAACAAATACAAAGAAATCCAGAATCCTGATTCATTTGATGAATGCAAAGCGAAGGAATCCGCTTTTGTGGCTGCGGAATCTCATAAAAGATTAGCCACAAAAATGTGGAGGCCGCAGTTGCGGCTTCTTTTAATTATGCGAACAGGGATTTCTTTATTTTCGCTTCTTTTGTGCGCCTCGTTTGCGCCGGAGATGCTGAAGTTGATGGCAGTTGGCCAAAAGGAATTCCATTTGGCCCGAATGCAATAAAACAATTTAATTAAATTTTATGTGGGCCAAGCGAAAGTAAATGAAAGCGAATAAACCACAATAAACTCGCAGCAGATGGCACATATTCCGGGTGCTCAGCCTGACCAAGGATTCGGACACATCTCCATGTGGCAATTATGAGCTTAATGGCGTGTCTGAGTCCAAGTCGAAGTTCACGTCTCCTCTGCCTTTCTGTTCTTTTCAATTTGCCACAAAGTGTCACACATCATCGGGACAGAAAGAGAAAGGACTTCCCGGCCTGACCTGTTCATTTGGCCATTTAAAAACTTTGGCTTTAAGCAACTGTTTGCCAAATATTTCACCCAGCTTCCTTGGTCTCGGTGTGTTTGTGATTTATGCTTGTGTTTAAAATGTTTAGCCCGGGCATAAATCGTTGCCAGAGTTCCGGAGAGTGCTGCCGGCTGGCCCTCATTTTCCCTGTTCTGTTCTGTCCTGTCCTGGCCACTTTGCCTAGGTCATCCATCCGGCACTCTACCCAGATTCGGGCTCATTGACCACTCTTGTGTTTGTGTTTATGTTCTGGCCCAGAAATTTCCTTTGTTTGCTGATTGAAATTGACTTTCAAGAGGCGCCAGTTGGCCTACTGTTAGGATCCGCAAAGAAATGTAGGAAATGCCGGGTCACTGGGAAGGTCAAGATATGAGGGATGTTTCGTATCCAAAATGATACATCTGATTTGAATTTGAGCATAATCCAGGCCTAAGCACACATTAAAATAAAGTGAAGAAGCTAAAAAAATGAGCTTATTTTACGCAGCATTTAATGCATTATTTTGTATAATATTAAGTCGATTTAACATTTATCCAAATGAAATTAAGCCCCAGTAAATTCAGCCAATATGTGTTTATTATTAAACATATTCTTCCTTGGTAATCGCTGAAACCCAACTAATATCTAGAATAATTTGGCATTTAATTCTAATTGAATCATTTCAGTTAGAGCACCTCAAAATCATAATATTTCAGAAGGAGTGCTTTCAATAAGCACATTCTTAACTCGATTTAGCCTACGATTATGGCCCTCGCACTTGGCCAATTAATCTTTATGTCGGAAGCACTTGGACTTGAAATCAATCCACTAGATGGAAATATATGCCCATTGGTCTGGGGAAAGCTTATGCAAATGTAAGACTTCGACCTCAATTAGTTATAAATACAAGCTCACTTGACCAATGCTTGACCATGATTATGGGAGAATAACAAGCATACGCCAGGTGGGCCAGGTGGGTCCGGGAGCAGCATTTTGTAGACGTTTTTGCCGAGGGATTGCGCATATCACAAGGGTACTCGGGGTTTTGTTCGCAAACAAAGCCAATTAACAACGGCAACAACAAGCAATCGAAGCTCAAGATGTCCAATACAAGGAGCTTAGCACCCATCTCCCAGCAACTAATCTCCGCCAGACTCTTCTCCATATTGATTGTATCGAGTTTGACAGGCACGTACGCCGAGTCCGTGAGATGAACTCTCTCCTAGGAGAAAGGAGGAATGGAATCCAAGGGTAACGGCGGGTCCACTGAATTACTCCTGATTTCGAGACTTGTGTGGCACGTTCTACTCTCGTTCTTTTTTGTGTCTTATAGTATTTGCTTAGTTTTTCCTCTTTATTTAGTTAGACAAAGCGACGAGGCCTAACACATAAGCCTTGCCGTAATTGGTAGTTAGTCCCTTTTTTCACCTTAGAGATTTAATGTAAAGCCGACAAATATGTCTTGGTAATAGGAAATGGTGAACACATCCTAACACCGTTCCCCTTAGTGGAATAGTTCATGGTTTTAATTTAATTTAAAGAACCAAGAAGATTTACCTAACTATAATTTGCATAAAGATGTAGTAAATTCAATGGTTCCAAAGAAAAAAGGGAGGGTCATCTAAAGCTGTGTTAAGATGAAGTGTTTACAGGGCCCAATTTCTTGAAGATCCAGCATCATATGCATCCCATTGCCTATGTCCAATAAACTGAATGTAGGGAAGCTGAGAAAGTGGCTTCCACTTTCAAACTTAGCTCCGGACTTTGCTAAGGCAAGAAATTCCTACGTTCGACTGGGCGATTCTCGGCGTAGCAAATTGAATAAACCCGGCCATTGGAGCTTCAAAGGTGCCTTCTTCTTGATATTGCGCCATAGGAGCAATCACCGTCGTCATGTGTGGCACGCAGTGAAATAGGAATGCCAATGCAGTCGGGACTGCAATCCGTGGCTCCTTAGTTCTCCAGCTGCTTAGCTTTCTTTTGCTCCTGGCTTGGGGCATTTGTAATGATTGAATTTGAATTGCCTGCAGGGCTGGGGCAGACTCAACTGAAAATCTCTCATGTGTTTATGTGGAACTTGAGGCTTACTCCCCGTTCGGCAAACCAATCCTGCCCGGCTTCTCCGAACTGTTTGTCTGGCTATGGCTTCCCTTCCACCGCCGGTCGAGCAGCTCAAATCCCTTTGGCTGGTTTTGGGTTTAAGGTCGAAAGGGCATTGAGGTTAAGGAAAAGATTCGGTCTTAGGGAATCATTGAGTTTAGAATTTAAAGCTTTATTTTGGAATTTTCTTATCAAGAAAAATATTTATTTAAACTGGCTTTTGCTTAGTCCCTCTATCCTGGCCATAGCTCTCACTGAGCTATTCAAAATTTCTGTCAAAATTTCTATAACTTTTCGGTTCTTTTTCTAAATTAATTTATTAATAAAATTCCCTGAAATGCATCCCATGGATCCTCACAACGAGGCGGCCTACTCGTTGGTGATCCTTGGGGCTTCGGGTGCTGTGGCCCGGCAGAAGCTATTTCCGGCGCTATGGACTCTCTTTCGGGATAATCGTTTGCCGCAAAACCTCCGGATATTCACCTTTTGCCGCTCTCCGCTGCAGACAAAGGTCTTCCGGCTGCAGGTGTTGCCCTACATGAGCCTGGACAGGTCCAAGGACCCTGATAAGTACAATCGTTTCTGGAAGACTGTGGTGTGCGTGCAGGGCGAGTATGATAAGCCAGATCACTTTGTGTCTCTGGCGGCAAAGATCCTGGAATTTGAGGCGCAACATTCTCAATCACCGGCAAATCGGATCTTCTACTTCGCTCTGCCGCTGGTGGTTTTCGATATAGTGGCCCTGAATATCAGCCGCAAGTGCGGCTCCCCAAAAGGCTGGACTCGGATAGTTTTGGAGAAGCCTTTCGCCCGCGACGATCTCACATACAAGAGCTTCCAGAATACGCTATGCACCTGCTTTAAGGAGTCGCAAATCTACCTCATGGACCACATGTTGAGCAAGAGGGTGCTTCAGAACTTCATGGCTTTGCGTTATGCCAATTACCTGTGGGCTGCCACCCTGAACAACCAACACGTGGCCGCCGTGATGATCTCGGTGAAGTGCGAGCATCCTGTGCGTGCCTCTCGAGCGGAATACTTCAACCAGTTCGGCATCATCCGGGACCTGATGACCAACCACATGATCCAGATGCTGGCCATGCTCGTCATGGACCAGCCATATGGAGACAAAATAGAGGATCTGCGTTCAGAGCGATTGACGGCACTCCGTCAGGTGCTGACCCTCAGTATGAGTGATATTATCATCGGCCAGTATCGCAACAACCGACGGGAGGAGGATCCGGCCAAGTGTGGTTACACAGAGCATAGCTACATACCCAAGGACTCTTTTCAGCCCACCTTCGCCCTGGCAGTGCTCAACATAAACAACAGGCGATGGACCGGAGTGCCTTTCATCCTGCGGGCGGGAAAGGCTCTCAACGATAGTAAGTCCGAGGTGAGGATCCAATACAAACCAGTGGCGAATTGCGATATACACGATGACAGTGCAGAAGCAAGAAATGAACTGGTTATCCGCTGGCATCCCACAGAGGAGGTCTTCATGCGTGTCCGCCTGAAGCGGCCGGGCGAGGAAATGTCCCTGAGGGAAACGGAACTCAATTTGCGAGTGGACGACCGCGGCCCTGGTTCAAGAGGATTAGACCGGTACGCCAGCTCTATAATGGATGTCTTTAACGGGGATCAGACCTACTTCATGCGCACTGATGAACAATGCGAAATCTGGCGAATCTTCTCCCCGATCCTCACCACGATCGAGGAAGATCGTCCTCGGCCCCTGTCCTATGACTTTGGTTCAAGAGGTCCTCCGCAGGCTTATCAGTTTGCTACGCAGGCCGGCTTCGCCTTCTTCGCCTCCGATGAGTGGCACGAGAGCGAGGAAACGCTGGCGTATACGCTGAAGAAGAGCCGGATCCTCATCGGGCCCCACACAGCCCTAAAGCCGGAGCGGGTGAACAAAGCCAAGAAATCTCTGCCGAAGGTCTAATAAAATCAACAGCGAAAGTTTTTTAATTAAACAAGTGCTGAGGCTGGTGTGCTACTGCTGCACCAGATGGCCAGTATCCTCCGCCTTCGCCTCCACCTCCAGGCTCTCCAGCTTGACCGCTCCACTGGCCCTGGCTTAGCCAGAGCCATCAACACTATCCATCCCGGTCAGTTTGGCTTCGTTCTGGTGTAGTTGTTGGCCATGTTGCCCTGGAAGGGAATAAATAACACGCATGATTTGGCCATTGTCCCTTGGCTGGTCTGGTGGTCGCAAGGAGCTCGTAAATAACAGGGAAGAGTTCTCCTGATGAGCAAATGAGAACTTCGAAATGCTCTAGGAAACTTCTTGTGAAATCGTATGTACAATTTTATTAGTTTGGCTAATTAAAATGTAATAATTTTGTTGTATTTCGTTCCTGTATTTGATGTTTAGGGTTTATCTTATTTTAACTTTTATATATAACTATATATGCACAGAATAATGATTTAAAATATTTTAAAACCTGTCTTAAAATCTTAAAGAAAAAAACCTCTCAAGATCTACTTAAGATCCTTTTAAGGTCGAAATAAATCTATGTATATTACCTCTTTAAAGGCTCCTTTAAATATCCTTAACGCCTCTTTGAAGCACCTTGCCATCTTCTGTACACTTATTTTGAAGATTTATTTAAAATCTTATCTCAAATAAATATATTTTACGGGGTTTTTTTATTCCTGCAGTAACTCAACTCCACCTACTTTTATTTTGAAGATATATTATCATAATAGCTTCTTAGAATATTTATGATATATGTGATAAAGTATATATTTTATGATATTTTCCAGTATGGCAATCCCAAAAACCCTTTTTAAACTTGCTAGTGTATTAACTGGTTCTGGTCGCAAGCAGTTGGCCATTTGTTGTTACTCTTTGTTGTGCTGGCAACTTGCCTGCTCCTCCGGGCTCTTGGTTTGGTAAAAGTTTCCAATAACTGTATAGCAGTTGATGAAAAAAGTACACATATACATATACTATATATATGTATAACCCAGATCACAGGAGCAGTGGATTGGAGTTTGCAATAGTGAGGAAAGTTACTTTGATTTCTTAAGCGCAACTTTGGCTAAGAAACTTTGAACTGCTCAATCACCAGTCTTTGACTTCTTGTTTACCCCGTAAACTTTGCTGTGGTCACTCCCTGCTCCTGCGTCTGCTCCTTTTCCTTCTGCCGATGATGATGACGACTCCGCGCTGATTCAGCAAATATTCTAATGTAAATTGGAGACGGAAATGTCTTGGCAGCAATAAAAATCAATATTAAATAGCAAATAAAATACAAATTATAAATGTGAAATTAAAGTTGACTACATTAAATTAAGCTATTTGTAGTACCTTTTAAATGTGCCTTAAAGCGTCAGAAATATAATCTAATTAGTTAATGCACCAAGTTCCTGAACTGCATTGTTATCCTTTGCATACAATTGCTTAAGAGACGCAATTGCGGGAAATATTACTGGGGTCTTCCGGCTTCGAATCTTAAATTTTCCGCTTCCTTGTTGATTTTCCATAGTCTTTGTTGGTCCGCCCACGCATATGCTTTGTGTTATTTTCTTTTCTTTGCCGCTTGTTTTCCTCGCATTTCGCCTCGCACCCTCCGGCTGCCAAAAAGCCAAATAAAAAGATTTTCCTCCCCCGGAAAAATAAAGATTCCACCAGGACTGCGTTGCTTTTGGGCCATGAAAATCATTAAAAACAATATTGTCGCTTTCAATTGGGATTGCCTTCAAGTTTATTTATTTTATTTGCCATCCTCATGCCTCCGGCGGCGACTCGTTCATATGGGCTTTGCTTTGGGGCCGCCACTCTGGCTGGCTTTTATTTAATTTACTATAAACATAAATGGATGATATCATAAACCGATTAAATCATTTGTCTAGAACATCTCAAGATAGGTGAGAGGTGAAATATTGTATAAGGAAGTTTTAAAGCTTTTTAAATAGAGGTTTCAGATTAATAATGCAATGCAAATATCATACGCAATTTTCGAATTAACGAAAGATCGGTAATCAATATTTTAAAATAAATCCATTTTGATTACATATTTTTATTAGGCTCAAAATTCAATCGAACAATTACTTAGAAATCTATTGGAAGCATTTTTTATACAATTGGTTGGTTATGTAAATATTGAATAAAAATATAATTGGTATAATTTGGGAAATAGTTTTGTCATAGACCGATTAAATTATTTAGAAAATGTTTCCAAGGATAGAATGCATTTTCAAGCAGTTTCTTCTAAGATCATTGTGGGCAAACCCTAATCAAAGAGGTTCCTTACCTATTTGAGCCTAACTCGGGTCGGGTCTCCTTATACTTCCCAAGGTCACACAGTAGCAAATTATTCAATGGACACTTGCCTAAATTTATATTTATTAAATTATAATTTATTATGAATAATCTTTCATTAATCTACGGGATACATTATAATTCCATTACTCTTAATTTTAAATAATCTCAGATTTAAGTAGTTAAAGGAGTTGATTTTTTCTGTGCAGTCCCATGTCCGGTATCTGCACTTTTCTTTCCTCTTCCGCACACTCACACACATATGTATGACTGGGCATCCTTGGGTGTCGGTTTGGGGTTTCGGATTCCACCATTTCACTTTTTAATACCCCACAAACAGGGGACCCAAACAAACACCCAGGAAGGCACAAGGGCGGGGCGATAAAAAACGAGTCCTGGCTGCACACACACACACCTAGTGGCAAAAAGGATTTCGTGTTTGGAAACCGTAAAGTGAAATTAAAATGGCTGGGCCAGAAGAGCTCTGAGCTCTTGCTGGGGAGCAGTCCGAGAGGATCCTTGTTTTGTGGGTGGGTGAAGCAGTAAAGCAAATGGCCAGCGCGCTTACAAAACACGGGCAATCAAAAATTGTAGTTAGTTGGCCATCGACTCATCCTTCGACACGGTTCCTGCTGCTATCTCTACGGCTATTGCCACCGCTCATGACCAAGTTACAGCCACATACAAGGAGCGATTACAGCCCGTGACACTCTACACAAGTTGTGGCCCAACATTTTGCGGTCCGCAGTGGACGTGAAGCGAAGTAAAGGAAAGATTCTCTGGTCAACATTTCAAATTGCTTAATTTAAAAGTGACTGGCAAAAAAAGGGGCAACAACAACTGCAAGGAGGATGAGCCGGAGCGGAAGCATGAGAGTGCAATGTAGTGAGTGTGAAAAAATAGTTAGCTAAATGTTGGCCAACTCAGTTGTTGGGTCCTGTGGCTTTGGAGGTGTTTCTGGCTTCGGTTCTGGTCCTGGTTCTGGTTGGTTGTGCTCCTGCAACAAGCTCGTAATCAAAGCAAACGAATTGGGCAGATTTTCAACGCCTGCGATGGGAAACCCCGAAATATGTTGGTCTAACATGAAATGGAAATGGAGGTGAAAGATGTTCCGGTTTGTTTGAGATCGCACTGGAAGGGTGTGAAATGATGGGACTAGTGTAGATAGTAAAGCCAATGAAGGTGTGGGTAAGGTTATCTGTAGAGATGAGATTGGTTATGACTAGGAGGGTATGGGTGATGGGTTTTGCGGAAACTGTTGCGAAATCCTCTGTAACAAATCCTCAGAGGGTTGTGGTAATAAACTATTTGAAGGGAGTCCTAATTGAAACGAGTACCACTCGCCTTGGTTAGTAGTTTGAAGCCCAAAGTTCAGACACTGTATTGCTCAAATTGTAAATCTGTATCAGCAGAAAGAAATCACTTGAAAGCTTTTTTGTTCATTGACAAGATATATGGTAAAATAATTGCTTGTTTGTCCCGGCCACTTTGCCATTTGCAATTTCCCGCCTTGAAAGCTCTGTGTTCACCAGAAGGCAGCTTAAAGAGTTTATCACTTAGATGGGCTCTTAGAGACCCGGAGATCCTCCGTTCCTGTGGCACGTAAAATGCGGTTTATAGTCGATGTGCACTCGCGGCGGCATCCCAAACCTTTCTAGCCACGCTCATCAACGTCCTGTGAATTGTAAAAGAAGGAGCTGCCAATGCAGCAGGATCACGGAGAGAAAATATATTCATTTCTTTTTAAAGAGTTTTCGTTAATATGAATTTCAATATATTTTTATTTATTAAAATTTAAAGACAAATGGCATTCTAAGCTGTAAGGTCAAATGCTTAAACATATTAATAATTTAACTTTTATCAGATGAATTAACTAGTCTAATTATTATAATATTACATTTACTATAATTCATTATTAAATAATAGAAATAAGTTATTGAATTCTGTCAGTGCATCGCACAATGGTCGCATGCACGTCTCCCAACTTCCGCCGTTGCATGGCGGTGGTCATGGTGTGTGCCCCTGATCTGTGTGTGTGTTTGAAAAAGTGTGGCGCCTCCGTACTTTTGTGCTGGTGTTAAAACGTGTCATTTGATGCGTAGGATGTCGTAATATGAGCTAGGTGCTTGGCTTCTCTCCCGGCTTCCAACTCACTTTTTATGTCCTCGCTTAGCCAGCTGCTTTTACTAAAGTCTGCCATTCCTTCCTTCGGCAGAAAAAGAAAAAAATAGGAGAACTTAAAATACTTGCCCTTCAATGCATACATATGCAAATTGTCTTCGCTTTACGACCAGTTCCTCATTCATGAATATTTATATGCGAAATGTTTTTCGGGATGCTTTGGTAATTTAATAATCTAGCCTAGCACAGCGGTCTAAAAACTGATTCGACCCCAGGTCTAAGGGAAATATAAAATGGTTTATGTTAAATAAATGTGAAGTAATATTTGAAAAACTGAATGGACCATTAAGTTCGCATCAACCTAAAGTGTAAATGGAGGCTGTAATTTGCGAGTGTTAAATTTAAAGCTGTTGATAAGATACCAGAACAATAGAAATAATTTAAAGCAATGTTGACTTATAAAGAAAACAGGAAATTCGACTAACTTATACTTGCAACGAATTGAATTGGTCCTAAAGAAGACCGGAAAAATTTGAAGTTAAATCAAAGTTGGAAAAACCCATAACTAAGTCAAAAATTTATCATTTATCAGATACTATGCTGTATTAGATTAGTAAAACAGCATGCTGATTTAAAAACAGCTACAAATTCCTCCACTGCATTGTAAGCTTCTTTAATTCGTAAATTCTTAATAACCTGAACATTTATTAAAATACCTCATACAATTTGTTTCCAAGATTAATTGCATTATTAACTTTTCTCTGTTATTTTCGTATGTTGCAAATTGAATAAACGCTTTCATCACTTCCCTCAAAGCCTACGTAAACTAATTAAATATTTTTAATGGCACTCATTAAACGGATCCACTTTATTAGACTGAATATAAGTTGTTGCCTGTCATGTTTTCTGTGCTCTGTTTGGGAAAAAAACAAAAATCAGCAATGTAATGTTAAGGAAAGGG